TTGACCCCAGGTCAAGAATGGACAGGAATTGGTTACACAAAAGAACTTCACAGAGGTAGTCACAGGCCACGGAGGACAGGTTGCAATTATTTAATCTGTAAATGTCAACACACATACAATTTGTGAGCATGGTTAACCTTTATGCATCAGTGTTCTCGGGAAGTCACATGCAAACACTTTCAAGTTGTTCCTCACTATTGACTGTCTCAGATTCCCCCTCTAATAACTTTTCAAGGGAGAGACAAAAGAGCATAAAGCTTCTAGCACAAAGTACAGTGTTGAATTCCTGCTTTCAATTTCAGCTCACCGTTACCTAAGTGACCTTGGACAAAATTACTCAGTCTTATACTGTGTACGTATGGTTTAATGAGAGGTGGTAGGCAATATGTTATTTAAAAAAACTATTTAAAATTAATTTTTAGAGGATTGTCAAGAAGGTAATAGAGCTTCATGGCTCCCCCATGTGTGCTAGAGGAGACCTGTGATCAGTAAGGTCTTCAGATCACCAGGGGTTTGTCCAAGGTAAATATGCATATATTTGAACATCTAACCTTTTTTGCTAATAGCTGAGCATGTCAACTGTTGTTTTGTTCTGGGACTTGAAAAGAAGGAAATTGATTCTTGTCCACTCATTGCAAATCAGGAAAAAAGTGAAATAAAAGAGGTGTATGTCATAGTTTAAAGCTGAATATTGCCCATTTGTGTAGTTTTATTAGAAAATAAAATTCTACCCACCACCTTATTTATTGTTTGGTGCAATTGGTTCTGACTTAAGGTAAACCCACATACAACACAGTCAATGATAGGATTCTATTCATATGGATATACAGGGAAGGTCTGTTTATATGACTATTATTCAAATGCATGCACCAACAACTAAAGCAAAAGGAAGAAACTGAGGATTTCTACCAACTTTTGCAGTCCAAAGCTGAACATGTATTCAAGATGCATTAATAATTATTGGTGACTTGCATGCATGTATCTTGGGAAACGTGCAGCCAGAATGTTTCTTGAAAGCCAAGATGACAAAGCTTTGTTTCATACTTTGAGCATATTGTTAAGAAAGACTGTTCATTAAAAAGGGACTTAGAAAGGTGGGAGGTGAGTGAAAGAGGGAAAGCCCCTCAACAAAGTGGATTGATGTAGTGACTGCGGCCATGGGCTCAAGTGGGTCAGGAGTGAAGACGGCACAGGACAGAACATGGTTCTATTGTCTGGGATCTGTTTCTCATGGGGTGACTAGCAGTTTTTCTACTCAATAGCACTTAACATCCCACAGAATGAGCTCTAGCCTGATCCAGAACTGTGGTTGCAGTGCCTGTGATGTTTCTATTCATAGTGTCAATTCATCTCCTTGATGCTTTTTCCTCCTTCGTTGACCTTCCCCTTTTTCCAGGTCTGGTATTCTTTTCCAGATATTTGCCCCTCCTGTCAATGTGCCCAAAGTGGGTGAAAGGATCTTTCACTATCTTTGCCTTAGAAAGAAAAACATTTCCTGTGAAATTCCACATTTCTGTCTTCCAGACGGAATCTGAGGTGGTGCTAATGGTCAAAGTGCTTGGCTGCTAGCAAAAGTGGGTAGTTTGGGTCCACCCAAGGGCTTCTCTGAAGAGAGGACTACTGATAGGCTTCTGCACACCAGGCTTTTCGACTATGGCTCGCTGTGGTTCTGACGTAACTGATGGAGAGAAGGTGAAGGCCAAGAATATACTCAGCTCTGCTGTGCAGTGGGCCATCCGGAGTCAAGCGATGACTTGACTCCACACAACTGCCAACAAGAATTAGATGTGAGACATCAAAGAGCTAACCTTGCATCTCCCGAATCCAACTCATCGGAACACGTGTTTGCCATTCTATGGTTGCAGCAGCAGAGGCGTGCAGAGAGGCTATGAGTGATTCTGACTACAGAGAGTGGGCTTTTCAACTCCCCTGTGATGCGCCCTCCTTATACGCGTGCAAACCCCGGGCCTTTTGGGGCCCTCTTCAATCACTGTCTGGGGCCACGCTTCTCCAGTCTCCCTCAGTTTGTGCTTTCCCCAGGCATACTTACACCAGTATGGTCAGGACACAGTTTGGGTGCTTCAGGGCATCGCACAGCACTCTGACGCCATCATCTTTCAGGCAATTTTGTAGGAAGGAGAGGTGACTCAGCTTCTTATTGCACATGAGGACAGGAGCGATATCATCACAAGCTTCACTTACGATGCCGCAGTTTCCCAAACTGCATAGGAGATAGATGTTTTTGAGAGATTAGAGCAAACCTTGTAGGATTATACAGGTCTTGTCCCCCTTCTAATTCTGTACCCACCAATTTACTTTTTCAATCTTAAGACTGTTTTCTTCCCACCAATTTACTTTTTCAATCTTAAGACTGTTTTCTTCCCAATCTTCATATATTTACTTAAAAGTGAGTGCATCCACGTATGTGCATACACACACAGGGAATCGCGGTGTGCTTAAGAGTACTGCATAGAATTCTAAAAGAACAAACAAGCTTGTCTTGGAGGAAATGCAACCAGGGTGCTACTCAGAGGCAAGGATATGAGGCTTCATCTCACACACTTCCGGCATGTTGTCAGGCGGTACCAGTCCCTGGGGGGAAAAAGCGATCATGCTGGGAAGGGTGGCGGATCGAGGAGGAGGAAAGTATTTAACAGGATAGTTAACAACACAGTAACAGCAGCAGCGGTCGTGAGTGTGGTGGTGTCTGAGGATGGGGCAATGTGGGGCAATGCTTCAATCTGTAGTTTAAAGGACACGAGCTCTTGTAGACATAGTAACGCAGTGAGCATGCGGCAAACGTCTTTAAAAAAATTTGAGAATTAATGCTGTAATTTTTGTTGTAATGTGTCATTGAGTCACCTGTGACTCATAGTGACCCCATGTACAACAGCCCTTATTCACACTGTTGGTGGGAGTGTAAAATGGTACAACCACTATGGAAGGCTGTATGGCGCTTTCTCAAAAAGTTGGAAACGGAAATACCATTTGACCCAGCAATTCCACTACTGGGAATATGTTGTGGTTGTTATGTGCCGTCGAGTTGCTTGT